CCCCAAAACCCCAAAACCCCAAAACCCCAAAACCCCAAGATTTTATTATATATTGAATTTTAGTCTTTATTTCAGAATCTCATTTTTCATGATTTCACTGCCATTTATGAAATTATCAAAGGCTTGCCTACTCATGTTCTAAAAATCATTTTGAGAGCTTACCACTTCACTATGCTTTGAGGAGACAGACTCTGGATGGTGGAGAGTGACATAATCACTCCTCCCAACTGTATTAGTCTGGTTAACATTATTCTCCTTATTCACTCTCTCAGGTGTGTTCAAAAGAGGAGAGTTTCTCTGTAAACTTTGTGTGTCAGCTTCTTGCTCTGAAAAATGAGATTTTTGAGACCCGAACCCTCTTTGAGTGTCAAACAACTTCTTAAGAGTCATTAGTTCTCGGCTCCAAACTATTTCTTTCTCTTCATACTGTCTTTTCTGATTATCGATTAGCTCTTTGAGGTACTTATTGTCTTCCTCAATTCTTCTGTTAGACTCTTTGAGCATCTCAAAAGCTTCCTTTGAGAGGCTTTGCTGTTGGACAACTTGGTTGAGCCCATTCAAGTGATGTTCTAACTTCTCAATCTGCATATTCAAAGACTTGTTATGCTTAGCAGCTTGAATAAGCTCGTTCTCCCGCTGCTTCAAGGTTCTCTCAGTGAGATCATAATTCTCCTTTATCTCTTTATAACTTTTCTTAAGAGAATTATGAGATTTTGTAGCATGATTAGAGACCTCAACCAGGATATCTTTTACATGGGCATATCTCTTTTGGTCAAGGTTGTCATTTTTCCCAAATAACCTCATGATTTCCACAACAAAAGAGTCTAATTTCGAACCTTGGCTGCCTTCATAATAGCTATCATTGGGAGTATCGACTGGTGTGGATTCCTCGTCAGTATCATTACTAGAGGAATCCATCATTCTCTTGTTAATATTCCTTGTAGGTTTCTGAGGCTCATAATTATAGTCACTTTGCCTCGACTCTTCCTCATGGTTGAAATTACGATTAATTTTCTCACGATGTCTCTTAATATCCTCATCATCTGAATCCAAGACATTCTGTAAATCTTGATTCTTGGTATCTTCATGATCATCTATTCCTTCACAAAATGTTACTTACAGGAGTCACAACTTTCATCACAAACTTGCCGGGAGGATCTCTTGGTAGAACTATTTTGAGCAATTTGTCTTCCAAGCTGGACATTCTGGCTCTGAAATTCCGTGCGTCTATTCCTCTCCAGGCTGGCACTACTTTCTCTCATCTTCTTGATATTTTTAGCTTGCTTCTGGATCATCTCCTTGTAGCTCTTCCCCCTGGGTTTTCCCTCCATTAAGAGTTTAAATATTTTTACAATTTTTTTAAGGATTTTTGGGGTTTTGGGGTTTTGGGGTTTTGGGGTTTTGGGG